AGGAATACCTGACTTTCCAGCACCTGTTACCTAGTTTACAGTCACAAGGTGGTGAATTGGAACAACTCTTTCTACTAATTAGGATCTTGTAGTTTTATTTATCACTAAGCTTGATTAGCTCTAATCACTGGACTCAAAAGTACTCAAATTTGATCAAATACTATTGAACCTCAACCCTTAATAAAACTCTCCGTAAGGGTAAAAGATGATGCTGTTTTACAGGGATAGTTTGCCTTCTAAAGTGGGGTTGTATGAGGTCCACAGTCATCTACCTACTGTAGATGATGGCCGATACACCTCTAGTTTGGATTGTTTGCAGGGAAGCTAATTAATGCACTACTCTGGACAGGATGTGCAGAAAAACTTTTCTAAACCACCGAAGAAGTTGGAATACTAAGGTTCTACAGTTGGGAAAAGGTAGTGCCAAAAAAAAGGCCTGTCTGAAAGCAAGGTAAGATGATAAGAGCATTCTAACCTAAACTGATATCGATTCTTTTAGGTGCAAAAAATAGGTTTTGCTGCTAATCTGGTTTGGGAAGCTAAGAGTGGCATCTCCTTTATGCAGATGATATGGTTCTGTTGCCTCATTAGACTGAATCATTGGTCTGAGCTGTGGTTAGTGATGAGTTGCAGCCCAAAGCGATGGAATTTCAGTTTCTCTGGAGCTTGTTCACGAGTTATGGAAAAGGAAATGGACTGATGGATTGTTGTACCGGACCGTCGAGGTGAAGAGGAAGCTGAGGCCGAAAGGCAAACTTCTTGATTTACCAGTCGACCAAACCTTCACCTATTGTCAAGAGTTCTGTGTTGCAACTGGAAAAAATCTATGAATTCCTCCAATGGGTGATTGGGCTCGACCTTGGCGATGACTAGGTCGGACATCCGGCGGTAGGTCAAAGTTGCTGCTTTGTCACATTGAAAGGATCCAGCTGAGGGGGTTCAGGTAACTGATCCTCTTAGGTAGACCGAGAACACTCTGAAGGAAGTACTGGCCTGGGAACGCCTCAAGATCAACCAGGAGGGACTGGAAAACTTAACCGAATAGAGGGGTGTTTGGAATCCGTTGGTTTGTCTGAACCAATTTCGAATATGTGGATGAAAACAGGTGGATAAAATGGATGATCCCATTCACAGTGGAAGGAAACTTATTGGGCTGATTGTGATCTACTGCAGGTAATACGCTGAGTATAGATGAGTACCTCATACAACCCCACTTTAAAGAAACTATCCTTTAATGTCCTAGTGAGACTGCAGTTGGCGCTGTGATGAACTTTAGCATGTGGCGTACAGGACTTTCCTTGCAAAATGACCCCATTAATCGATCGTGTACGTATTTATTGAATTTGATGAAGGAAAGATTTTGCGTTCAAAAAATTAGGTTTTCTTACAGCACCCTTGTATCCCAGCTCAGTGTCGCTGTTTACAGAGCGTGAACATCACCTTAGTCTACCAAAATATTCCCGTATATATAAACTTTACTGTCTACTTTATATATTACACTATAGCTACATTATTCTAACATAATATATATTATACAGACGATATAGTCTACTGTAATGTGCTGTACATAGACTATACATTCTATACCTCTGTGGTCTGCCAAAAGCGCATCAACATCAACTTGTAGAACTTTGGAAATCACGACTGCAGTTCGGCAGGAGTTCAGGTACTACGTCGGATAAAAAGCAGACAGATGCGGTCGATCTGTTGTCGTGGAAACAGGCACTGAAAAGTTGATTGTGCTTTAGAGGGGAATCGGCAGGAGAGACTGTAACATGGCAGGTACTATATTCTCTTTTATAAAATCTAATTACTAAGAAAATAGGGAGTTGTAGGAATGTGATGGCGAGCAAATATCCAAAATAAACTAAAGCTCTGTTAAAGCCAACCGTTCCTGGTACATTATTGACTTGACTTTTACAATTTAAAGATAGAAAGTGAGAGAAATACACCTTTCAGTGTCGTTGCAGAGGTCGTGTTTACATGTTGTATTTTGTTTGTTTGTTGTGTGAAAAGGCAATGAAGGAAAAATGAGACTGGTTTTAGCAGCGTTGTCCTTGTGATATCTCTCAGTAGCTTGTAAGCTAACAAGACACAACATGTAAATCAGACTCCTTTGCTATTGGAAGGTGTATTTTTACACTTTTGATGGAGCTAGGCTAGCACTTTCCTCCCACTTCCAGTCTTTGTGCTAAGCTAAGCTAAACACTGCCAGGTTGTAGCTCTAGATGTGGTCTTTAATTTTTTTTGCTGTAATAGCAAAGTTGTGTAAAAGTTGCTCCTGTTAAAGTTAATAATCTGTTTTGTGATAAAAAGGCTGGAATGATGGGAAATAATCTGTTTTTAATCATATAGTGAGTCATCAGGACTGGGCAAGATTTCAAACTAGAATCATTTTTTTTAGTTTAGTCCTCAAGATTTAGACATCGCAGCTTGTACATAAATGTTACTTTCAGCAAAAAAGTAACGATAACTTATTACTTTAAGTCCTCTTATTTACGATTTATCGGACGTATACAAACATTTTTAAATGAAGCAGCCTTTGCTTATTGGTGTCCACAGGACGAGATGAACTTATTGTGTTCTAACAACATTATAATGTCTTACAAACCATTTATTACATATTATAGAAGTGCTATATAGTAATGCCAGTCCTGTAAATATGCACCAGTTATCCAGCTGATTTTCTAGGGCTGTAGTGTCCAGGTGGACTCGGCTGATTTGCTTTCGTCCGACCAAATTGGTCGGTTAGTCACCAGTTTTATTGTTAGCCTTCCATGCTAGGTTTAACTTATCTCGCATTGACTGAACATTTGCTTGGAGTTGACTCCAAACTAGCTGATGTCAAACAAGTCATCGGTGTAACTCTGTTTAGTTTAAACTGATGGACAAAAGGTGGAGTGACTACAGACGACAAAACGTTTTTTCATGGCCAGCTGATTGAGTGAGAGTCAGTACGATTGAAATCGACCGAGATTTTCTTTGGTGCACTACAGCCCTGAATAGCTCTGTTGTGTTAGATAGCTGTTAGTTCTCTATTTAATTTCTGGCATGAGTGACTGTGGCTGGATGGGATGAACTGTACTGAATACGCATAACAATGACTTTAAGTTCGTTTAAAGTTCTTGCTGAACCAAAGTAAAAATCCCGACTTCATTGTCACAAATATCTGTACTTGTTCTTGGGACTCGCATAAAAAAGCGGCATCCCCTCCCGTCTGTAGCGTTTCACTGTACAGTAATATAAAAAGGATGGTTCCTGAATTAGGGGCCAATCCCATCTTACCAATCAATTAATTCATAAACACCAATAAATGTATGGTTAATTAAATTTGGGGTCTGTTCTAAACTCCGTATGTGTTCTGGAGGAAACTCCACATATGGCAGGGAAGTAATCCCCAATATGGCAGGGAGGAAACTCCATTTATGGCCTGTTCTTGTTACCGCGAGACGTTTATGGCAGGCACAGCCACGTTTAATTCGAGGGGGCTGATTATTGAATTTCAGGTGTCAGTGTGAGGAAGATATAGGAGGAGGAGGAGGAAGGATATTTTCTGTACAGATGGCTTTAAACAGATAGCACCATGTACAGTAAGCCCTCGATAAGCAGGTTAGAAACTAGAGAGGTTTACAGTTGGAGCTCTGCTGCAGCTCTCCCTGAAACACAGCACATCAGCACAAAGTCACACTCATTGACAAATCATTAGGAATTTCAAAACATCACCGAAACAACCTTGAAATTCAACTCATTGTCAAATCATAAGGAACTCAAAATCATTTTCCAGACTATTATAAACTCTGTAAGTCATCACCACCACATTATTATTACTTGTTATTCATAAATTTCTAAATGATTTGCTTTAAGATATGAACTCAAAGTTAACACAAATTCTTCATGAGTGATATTTGGAAAAAAAAAACCCCAAAAAACAAAAAAAAGCTAAGTCACAAGAACTTTCTGAAAAGGACAGAGAAGTATCTTCAGCTGTAATCTCCCGTTGTTAAGGTAGAGACTCCCAGTGGCTCGCTAATCGTCCAGCTAAACTCGTCTGGGGAAGCAGAATGGCACGAGGAAAAGAACCCATCTCGTCGTGTTTGTAGTCAGATTGTCGGATCAGCTCTTTGATCAGCGTCTCTTCACCTGTTGAGATGGCCAGGTGAGCTCTGTGTCCAGCTCACTGCAGAAGAGTGTGGGGATGGTCCTAAGGTCTTTACCGTAAGGCAACTGGACTTCTATTTGGTAAGACGTTTCATCCAAGAGGCTTCTTCAGTTCTAACCAGGTATTTATTTACACCCCAAACTCACATGACTTGAGGCTCGTTAACTACCCGAAACTTGCATGAATCGAGGTACGTTAGCGACCCATGACTCAAGGCTTGTTGAGGAGCAGAGATTCATACAAGTCTGCCTGGACAGGAAGTTCAAGACTGCGCTATAAGTACCTGATAAGTGGTGTCATAGGCCACCTTTCTTCGTTGCTGTTCCAGTTTAAGAAAGAGGGCGTCCTTTCCTACTCTCTCGAATTTGTTGTTTTTAGTCGTTGGTTGGACACAACAAGCAATTTGAATAAGCCAACTTGGACTCCGGGAAATTGTAATGGATATTTTTTTCCATTTGCTAGTTTTCTTTGTGTTCGATATTTTCAGTGTTGATTTTAGTCTACAGAACAAGTGGCTAGTTGCAAAATTGTGTTTGGTTAATCATTGTTTTCAGCAGACAATGGTTTAACTTGACAAAATGCTTTCAACCTTGATTTTAATCTGCTGCCACTGCAATCTGTCAGCAATGTTTTGTAGTTCAACAATCCCATTTTCCCCATGGCTGATGGTAAAAGTTGTCAGTTTTTTCTTACTACTGGACGTTGTGTTTTACGCGGTCTGGCTAAAATGTCGTCTTTGTTTTGCATTGAAGTTTACTTGTTTTATTCATAGTAAATTAAATGTAATATGTTGTTCATTTTAAATATTACTTAGTATTTAATGTTCGTTTCATTTTTGTCACTAAAAAAGGTCAAACGTTTTCCGTGTGACGAATTTAATTAAAAAGTGACTAGAAATGTTTGAAATGAGTTTACACAAAGCACATGAATGATTAAAACATAGTGTTTGGCCAGTGTAAGGGTAAATTTGTTCAAATTAAATTTTTGTAGTTGTATTGCGTAGATTGCTTTTCTATTTTCTAAAGGAGAATTGCTGGCTGTGGTTGAGGGTATTTAATAGGCACGCAGACCTTAAGAGGTGTCAAACTGAATGTTTGAGACGTACAACTACACAAAAGCTAAATACTGGACGGACAGGTTCCAGTTCTTTTGCGTTGATCAAAGAGCTGATCAGCCAAAATGTCTGAGATCACTCAGAGAGCCAGGCGTTGGTAAAAAGGTCTAAAGATTCAGTCACTGCTAAGATATTCTAGTCAAAGAGATGGCCTAGTGTCTGACCCGAGGTCAGGGGTTGTGAGGTCACAGTTCAGGATGTCTAGAGGTGAGTCGGAGGTGAGGGGTCAAGTGGAACCTTCCAGCAGTTGTCTGAGTGCCCTCTCGATGTTGATTCGGTGTCCCAATCTGGTGACGCCCAGCTCCACGTAGTCCTCCTTGGTGAGGGCGGGGAGATGGGAGCCTTCGATCTCGTGCTCTTGGAAGCGCTGGCGGTGTTCGGCCAAACCCACGCTCTCCAGCCAGTCACCCACATCATACTTATTCCACAGGTTGAGGGGCCGCTGCCTCCACGGCCGAAGGGCCAACAGGGGCCCGCTGAGGACCGGGGAGGGGCAGGGAGAGGCGTGGGGTGAAGGCGAAGGCGAACGGGATCTGGTTCGTGCACTGGCGCTTCGCATCACAAACCGAACCTCCTTTGGTTCTGAGGGGAGGCTGAGACTGGACGATTTCAGGATAGTTAGGCCGCGGCCCGAGCTAAGATCGGGCCTTTCGGAGCAGGGGGCAGTGGTGGAGGGGAGCCCCATTGACCTATCAGAGGGTGAGGGAGAAGGGGAGGGGCTCCGGCGGGTGATGGGGTAGCGACTTCCTGGGCGGACTGTATAGCTGGCGCCGTATCCTCGCTGGGAGATGGTGTGGAGTTCACCGAGACTGGAGAACAACCTGCAATGCATTAAAATGCATTTTAATGTCATAAACATCAATCAGTTGCCAGCCGGACATGGAGTTACAAACTGATCTCTGGAGGCCTCACCACCAGTAGTCCTGTCAAGCTCTGTATTCTCACAATGGTTGCAGACGAAGTGTGCATAATTGTAAATTTTGAAGGAAAGGGTCCTTAACTTCAGACGGTTGATTGTAGCAGTTATCGCTAACTAGCCAAGTAGTTCGACTGTTAACTCAATTTGTTGTTTGGAAATTATCTCTGGCTGCCTTTTTTTTTTTTTTATAAATGACAATCCAGAATATAAAACATTATGCTGAAAAATTTAGGGATAAAACTATGTCCCAGGCAACAGTTCTTACTTCTTATTGATAATGTAGAAGACATATAAACGTAGAAAGGTGGCATTGTTTTTGTAATGCTGTAAATTCAAACATTAGATCATACTGTTACATTGATTCTAGCGTCACCTAGTTTGAATGCTTGACTTAAAATGTTTGGTATTTAAACCAGCAGCATTTTTGCAGAAGAATGATATGCTTAAAAGTAAGTTACGGTTCCACTGCAGGTGCTAAACTGTAGTTGGATATGCTCATGTCTGGTTAACGCACTGTTTAATCTATTCCTTGCACTTTTGCTTTGGAGTTTTTGAAAATTAAAACAAACTCACTCTCCAAACTACAAAATATTGAGAAATGCTAAGTTTGACAGGCCTGCCATTATTTAAGGCCAATTCATGTTTTTCGTGTCCGTAAGGGTATGTATGAGGTAAACCCAAGTTTGTGACGAAGCATGTGGACTGTCCGTATTACGAGCGTACTTAAAACAAATGTTCAGTTTCAGGAGAGGATGTGTGATGCCATCCTCTTCCCAATCATTTGCAGAGCTGTAGTGGAAGTACTTGCTGCAGGACTGTAAAGGTGCTTTAATTTGTAAATGCTTTCTGTCGACGGAGCTCAGACACAGTAGGATGTTCTAAGTTCTTCAGAAGTCCTGTGCTATGTCTAGCCACTGTGCTCAACATGGAATATTAGGAATATTCACAGACATCTTCCTACAGCCCAGTTTGTAAGTAGCTTCTGTATCCGGTACACAATGCCCTGCATGTTTCCTGTGTTCAATATGCGAGGCAATGCGACTGTCTGTGCAAACTGATGAGGCTTGATTGTTGTATAAATAGAGACAAGTGCACATCCGGATTTTACGTATTGGCGCGCACTGATGCAGAAAGCATGAATTGGCCATTAAGCAGTTAACCTTTGATACGATCCCTTTCAGTGAGGTGTTTAGCAAACGATCAGTTCTCAGGTTGTGACATATGGGAGAGTAATTTCAGATTTTTAGTAGTTAGTCATCTGTGAAGATGGTGCACGTTAGTTAGCTGTTAGCCAATGAAAATCACCTCTTGGCGATAACGAGAAATGTTTACCAGAGATAAAAACCTACGATTTACTCTCTCCACTGTCCACACATCTGGAACAACACAAACAACAGATTCTGTTACAACACACTCGCTCACACAGTGGTACTGCCCGATCAGCAGCACTGCAGTATTTGCAGTGTAAGACAGTGTGATGTACCTGGCACCTCCTACTGGTGACCTTCGTCCTGGGTCAAGGGGACTTGGCTCCTCCCCCAGAGAGTGACTGTCTTTGTTGAGCAGCTGTAGCCGATTAGCCAGATCCAGTCCAGAGCCTGCCCTGCCGCTCAGCTCCAGTGCAGACGCTGACCGGCTGGTCAGGTCCACAGCTGACCCTGACCCCTGCCCTCCCAGTGCCGCTGGACGGCCCCCTTCCTCTGGGCTGAGGCCCCGCCGCTCCTCGTCTCCACCCCCCCACAACTTGGACCTCCTCTGGAACAGATAGCGTGGCTGCCGGCCACCGCCACTGGTGGGGGAGGAGCAGAGTGGGGAAGAGGGGGAAGACGAGGATGCAGCATGGGGGAGCAGCTCGCTGTCTGATGATTGCTTCAGTAACGGGTCCCGGAGTGCAGAACGGCCCCGACCGATGGGCGAGCGAAGGCGGGGCTTTAGGGCTGATGGGGAAGTGGCAGCAGATGATGGAGATGGGTGAGTAGCAGGTGGGGAGGAGGGGGAGGATGGAGCAGGAGGGGAAGCCAGGGTGATGGAGGGAGGGAGCGAACTAGGGGAGGAGGAGCTGTCAAGGAGCCGTTCGTCACCTCCTTCCTCCTCATCTCCTCGCCTCCCCAGGGAGTCAGGACCACTCTCTCCTCCCCCTCCCTCCCCACCTCGCCTTGGCATCAGGGTTAGGGAGGATGGGGGTGGGGGTGCAGGGGAAGTGGAAAAGGCAGGGGGAGGAGTCACCAGACCAATTCTGCGCAGCTCCTCCCTAGTTTCCTCATCGCTGGATGACAGCAAGGCTGGTGGGAGTGTCACTGTATAAGCCCCGCCTTCCTCCTCTGAGCTGCCCACTGTAAGGCTTCTGCGCCTGTCAAGCAGAGCAGCATGGGTCTCATTGGCCAGCGCTGGCAAGGGGGAGGGTCTCCAGCGCTCAGGGGAGGGGCCTGCAGGTGATGTCACTCCTCCCTCCGTTTCTGGGCGTTCCACCTGTCCATCAGGGAACAGGGGTGGGGTTATGCGTTTATGCCTCAGTTCAGGACTAGTCTGGGGAGTAGTGCGCTTCGTTCGCTGCTCTGGGCTTGTCTGAGGAGTGGTGCGCTTGGATCGTGGTTCAGGGCTGCTCTGTGGGGTGGTGATAGGAGTGCGCTTGTGTCTGCCCTCAGGACTGGCAGCCGGGGTGGGGATAGGCGTGGTGGAGGCAGAGGCGTGTTTGGTTCGAGGCTCGGGGCTCGGTGTTCGGGCGGTGAGCGCTCGTTCTCTTGCAGCAAGAGCCAGGGCAAGTGGAGAGGACGGGTCTGAGGACAGAAAAGAAGGTGTGGGTGGACTTTCATCTATGATTGTGTTGATGGAGAGGCTCTGCTTTGGGTTTGCTGCACTTTTTCGATGGATATTTACCTGTAACTTACTCTACAATCCTTTAATCTACTCAATCTCTGAACTGTGGAGTACCCCAAAGCTCTGTACAAGGCCTGCCTCTATTCTGCAAAGTACCTTACAGCTCTGTCTTAGGCCCTTGTCTATTTTGTGAATTAACCCAAGGCCCTCATCTGTTTTATGGAGTACCAAAATGTTCTATCTTATTCCTCCATTTGGGAAGTACCTTAAGGCTTTGTCCTAGCTCCTCCTCTATTTTGTGGAGTAGATTCAGTCTTATGCCTTTGTGTGTTTAATGGAATACATCAAGGCTCTGTCCTAGGTCCTTGTCAGTTTTGTGGAGTAACCCAAGGATCTGTCTTATGTTCTTGTCTATTTTGTGGCATATGTGACGGCTCTCTCTTATGTCATTATTTAGTCTTTTCTGTCCTTGTCTATTTTTTTAAACATCTGAAGGCTTTTTTGTATGTCTTCCTCTATTCTGTGGAGTATCTCAAGTCCTCTGTCTACATATTGTGAATCTTCGTCACATCACTTGCCAAAGTTGTCATTTCTTTTTACTACTGCTTTGGTGAAGTTTGACTTAATGTATCTGTAAAATTTGTACTGAAAAACAATCACAAGTGTCTGAAGTCAAATCAACTCTTAACAATAACATGGAACAAGAGATGTCACATTGGGTTTGTCGGACCGACCTAGAGGTTTCCCCGTCAGCGGGTGGAGGAAGGTGTGAGGCGTCGGTGAAGGTGACAAAACCGGAGCTGGAGGAGGAAGCTCGCCGAGGTCGTCCATGGAATGGCTCTGAGTCAGGAGAGGCGGCACCTGATTTTCTGACCCCGCCCCCTCCACAGACAGGAAGAGAGATGACCGGCGGCCCTGAACCCGAGCGCGCTCAGAAAGGACCTGCTGCTGGTACAGCTCCGCCCTACTGGGGCTGCTGGGTCCGCCTACATCTAACTTGGTGGGATCGTGATCTTTGATCCCAAGACCTAGAAGGAAAAAAAAAAAGATAAGGAGCCTGTTGAATGATATTTGTTTTTCATCCCCGAGCAGGCGATCAGACTTTTTTTAGCACAGAAAATAATTGTTTGCAAACATTATATTTATTGTATTTTTTAGAAAATGCAAAAAATAACGTAATTTGAGCAACCAAATCCGTTTTTTTCTCAGTTAAATGTTTTGTGTTATCTACGTAGCACTCAGTTAAACCCAATAAATGTGTGTCTACCTTTGTAGGTAGCTATCTACCTCATAGCTATACTTTTGATTCTTCATTTTGGGTTGCCTACAACCTCTTTGGGGATGCTACGACATATGTGCCAGAAGTTAGCTAGCTACCTACCAAAATAGCTAAACTGCAAACCAATAAACTGCTATTAAAATTATTTGCACCAGTGAAGTGTTTGTTAATGTCGGATCATCGGTTTCCAAAACATAGAGGTATTGGTTGACACCCCATGTCTGACGTCAGAAAGGTTTGGGAGAAATTTCCGATGGTATCCGACGATTAGTTTAGTTGGAATTTATCCCCTTCCTAACAGTCCATCAGGTTGTCAAACTTGAGTTTGTCGACAAGCTTAAGAGTTCACAGCTTAGTGAATCTGAATATACATTTGAATACAAAAATCACTAAAAGATTATTGCATGATGACGTGGATAAATAAATGTAGTATATACATTTCTGTGCTCAAAATGTCTGATCACACTCTTAGAATTCAAACATATAATTCTCAGCAGTCAGATAGAGGGACGGATGCTAACCCTGCTCCTCAACAGGAAGCTGTTTCAACAAAGGAGACTTCCTCCTCTGGGGTTTGGAGGGCGCAGCCTGCTGTCCCACGTTAGCGTATGGGTTTTCTATTGGCCGTCCCCGGCGGCGTGACAGCGGCGAGTGTCCGAGGGCGGGGCTGGTGCTGTGGAGCGACAGCGTGGAGGTGTGCGTTGCCGTGTGAAGCGTGTGCGTGGCGGTGTGCGTTGCCGTGTGCAGCGTGTGCGTGGTGGCGGTGGCATGCACGTCGGGCTGCAGTGGCGGCGGTGTATCCTGCAGGATGATCATCGACCTCGCCTTCCTCTGGCGCTCGGCGTGGGCGTGGCTCCTCGTCGGTGAGTCAGAGAGCTCCTGCAGCCTCGGCTCGGCGCCCGGCTTGAAGCTGGAGCGGGTTAGCCCCTCCCCTCGAGCCGGAGGGGGAGGGGGGAGGAAGGAGGGTGGGGGGCCGGAGTCGAGGATGAAGAGCGAGGAGGTGGAGGAGGCAGAGGGAGGAGGGGGCGGGGCCGTCTGAGGAGGGGGCGGGATGAAGCTGTCAGTAAGTGAGGAGCTCCGTGGAAACCGGCTTTCGTTGATCAGAGCCGAGATCCTGTCGTCCTCCGGTGTACCTGCCGTGGTAATCATGGAGACATTAAAACAAATCCAGCTAATACCTCAAACCGTTCCCACCTTATTTATAGGGCTGCAGGTAAAACACCAAATCTCACCAAAACTCTTGGTCCTGGACATTCCTCTGGGCAAAGCCATGGTGCTTTTCTCTGGAGCTGAAGGTGGCACGAGACCCTGACGCTCAAACAGCGACTACAGACACATAAAACACAAACTTTTAGTCCAGTAAATAAAGACAGGCTGCTTTTCTTACTACTCTGGGATGAGATGTGCCTTTATTCAGCCAAGAGAACAGTGTAGACACTTTAGAAATGTTAGTAGAAAAATAAAAATAATCCAAAAGTACAAGTAGTAGTTCAGGTTGTCCAAATTCCTTTGGATGTGGAAATAATATGGTCTTATTAGTCCAGACTTGTCTTTTTGGTCCAGACTGGTCTTACTGGTCCAAACTGTTCTTATTAGTTCAGACTAGTCGTGTTGGTCCAGGCTGGTCTTTTTAGTCCAGACTGCTTCTCATTGGTCCAGACTAGTTTTATTGGTCCAGACTGGTCTTACTGGTCTAGACTGTTCTTTTTAGTCCAGACTAGTCTTATTGGTCCAGACTGTTCTTAAGGGTCCAGACTGTTCTTATTAGTCCAGACAAGTCTTATTGGTCCAGACTGGTCTTATTGGTCCAAACTGGTCTTATTAGTCCAGATTGGTCTTATTAGTTCAGATTGGTCTTATTGGTCCAGACTGGTCGTACTGGTCCAGACTGTTGTTACTGGTCCAGACTGGTCTTACGTTAATCTCGGCCTGTGTGATCCGTCGACTTGTCGGTCGCTGTTTGACCGTCGCAGCCCTGAAGTCGTCTGTCGGACGACCTCTCAGCACGACTTCCTGTTGACCTCCAGCCAACATCTCGTCCAGTTTCTCTGCAAAGACGCAAACAGCAATGTGAACAAACGGATAAAATGGGATGAAACGCAGCGTCAACACCGAAAAACCATGACGTCCAATGGACAAAACAGCAGCCGTCGCAGGAGTTTAGAGAACAATCTTCCTCCAAAAGAACCAACTTCAGAAACTTCTTGAGCGTTATGGTGTAAATATTGTTTCAAAGTACACCTACATGTTGAGTTTGCAAAGATGAATAGTTTCAAGACTATCATACTAAACTGAACAAAAACCAAACATGCGTGTAATTGTGGAATGTGAACGTCAAGTCAGACTCCATAAATATTGCAGATCATCAGTTTGTTGTCGTCAACCCTTAAACATCACGACATCAACGAAACTCAGTTGGTGCTTTTCCACCAGAAGTTCCAGAAATAAAAGAGGCGTTAATGATGCAAAAAGCGACGTGACAGAAAAAAACTGTAGCAGCTCAAGACATTTTTAAAAACAGTTTTTTCCTTTTTTAAAAAAATAACTCACTGTTATTTTGTAGATTTTTTTATTTTTTCTGTTTTTAAGTTTGCAGAGCTTGTAACCTCATATAACACGCTGAAGGATAGCGAGTTTAAGCTCTTTATTCTGGACTCTGGTGAAAAAGCTCCTCGTGACATCACTGTAACACCATGCCAACAGACTGACATCACAGCGACATCACGGCGACATCACGACACTCAGAGCAGCGTGAGGTCGACTCACCGAAGCGCCTCCTCCTGGCTGCAGACAGAACAAAGGTCAGAAACAAACTGGCTGCGGTTCAACGCTAAACTCTGTGTTTCTGTGGGTGCGTTTGTTTTACCAATCTCCTCCAGGTCGGCCGTCATCGACTTGGACCGCAGCGTCAGCGAGGTGCTGGGGGCTCGTTTGGGAGGGGGCGGAGCTACAGGGCGAGAATCACACCTTATTTCGCAGGTACTGAACATGTACACAAAGAAATGTGTTTACAACTTTATTTGTCCTGGATTTCTTGTGCCAGATATTGCCTCAAAGCTGTAACTAATAATCAATTAGTTGTGAAGGATTCAATTTAAAAATGAGCTTAATAAAAGCAGATGATTTATCAGGGAGACGGTGAATAAAAATGAACAAAGAAGCTGCTGGACCTTTTTTCCTGATCAGGTTGGTCTCAGATTTCCTGGAAACCGACACGACCTTCATCAGCAGGCGACTTCCTCCCTGTCGGATCAGAGAGACGACCTGCCGGTGACCCACCTTCACCACGTCGGTGCCGTTTACCTGCAACACACAGCACAGGTGAGTCATGTGACCCGCAGTGACACACCTGGAACACGAGGAAACCGTGTGAAACACCCAAAATATTCCGTTTAGAATCACGTGTTATAGAAAAGCAGCGGTATTATTATTTGTTTTTTCCTTTTTTTTTTAATGAATCCTCACGGCAGTATTTTAATTAATATAAATTAATCATCTTCAGACCAACAAAGCAGATTTATTGATGAATCAATAACAATAGTCTTAAAGACAACTTAAAGTTAGTTGAGCTTGTTGGAAATAAAGTACATTTACTTACAAACGTTTTAAATAATTATTGAAATTGTTTTTTATTTTGGAACCAGATGTTGATTTTAGCATTTTGGAAATACAATATCTTTGGGGTTTGAGTACGGTTACCGTGGTTACAGATGTTGGTCTACGAAAAAACTATGAAAAAATATTTGAACCAGAAAAACCCTGAAAACTAAATAATAAAAACTAAACATTAAGCTCTTTGTGCACAGTTACCATAGTTGCAGCTGTTGTTCTGGTCTGTCCAGGTCGATTTAAATAAAGAAGATTGCCGACGCCATTACCTCAATGAGGAAGTCTCCGGTCCGAAGCCCCGCCCTCCAGGCCACGCCCCCCTGGTCCACCGACTCCAGGTACTGAAGGGCGGGAAACGCCGGCGTCGGAGCGAACTCCTCGATGGGCGTCTCGGCTGGAAATTGAGAACAGAAAGTCGGCGTTTATACCTGAACAGGTGAGCGAATGAAGCCATGCCGCCCCCTACAGGCGACGGAGGGAATGTCGAGGTTGGTTTTACATTCAGAGCAATTTAAAGTTGCTGAGGTTGAGGAACATCTACGAGGCCTGCAGCAGCTGTTTTCATAAAATCTAGTTTTTATCCATTAATGTCTCCACAAACAAAGTTTCTAACAATATTCTCTCAAAGTTCCGTCTTCTGTTTTACATCTCAATCAAATCATACTGTAACTTCCTGTTTGCTAAATATGCAGAAAAACAAGAATGCTCCCTAGTTAACAGGTTATTGTCTTCTTTATTTTCCTTTTCATAAAGAAAACTAAGAAATACGTTTTTTTTTGTTTGTTTGTTTGTTTTGTTTTTTTAAATTGTAGAAAGTACAGCTGCTGTTTAGGTAGGATAAACCATCAGGATAAAATCTGAACCTACAAGCATTACATTTTTATAATAAAAATATTAGATTTTGACACAGTTTGTAGCTTTTATCAGAAGTTCTGGATGAATCGATCTGAACTGATCTCTGTCTCTGAAATGTTGAAAAATGTCATGTTGTGTTTCCCACAATTCAGATATATTCAGTTTACTATCAAAAAAGAGAAAAGAAACCAAATTATCAAAACATTTAACAACTAGCTGAATAATTGGTGCAGGTCCAGTTGTTAGCGGTTCTGTCAGTAACTACATACAGCAGTGATATTTGCAGCAATAGCTTCTTTGCGTTCACAAACATCAGCAGCAGCTGGATGTCGTCGGCGTTTCAGGATGCATAATGAGCAGTGCAGCGTCGTCTCTTTCTGTATCTGCAGCGTTAGAACTGAACCAACTGTTGGTATGGACCAGCTGGAACATAAAGCAGATTGCGAGGGAACGCTAAACTTCTCGCCGTGACCCTTGCGGGGCTCCGTAGGTGTTACGAAACAACACAAGCGAGGAGGTTTTTTTTTTTTTTTTTTCCCTCTCAAGACTTCACCGTTTTAAATATCTCCCTTTTCGTCTTCCTCCAGACACCCACCACTCCTCCACCCGTCCTTCGCTTTCTACCTTTAGCTCCTCTGAGGACGAAGCCAAATCCTTCGCTCTCCCTCTTCTGCAGCACCGCCGTCTTCTCCTCGATCACGTAGTCGCTGGAACGCAGAAGTCGATTCGGTTAGAAAGCTCGCCAAAGATCGTACGGTTCATTAAAGACTAAACCAGGCGTCCTCGACTTAAAGAAAACATCTTCACCAGTTTGACAGAAACATTTTAGGTTTAGCTGTCAGCCGGCACCATGACAACGACCGCTGTGACGCTTCATGATCTCTCTACAATCTCCGCTTCTGGAGCAGCTGCAATGATTTCATGCAATCAGTCACACATTTGTTCTACGTGTGCATCCAGAAGTACTTTTCACCACCTGCAGGAACAGCAGCTGTGTTCTAATCAGTAGTTTAGTTTAGATTTGTACATTCTGGGATTATCCTGAGATCTGATCGCGTCCGTCATGAATAAACCTCTTCACACATTTCCGTCGTCTAGATTTAGGATTTTAAGCAAATCTGTAAAACATTCTAATTATGGAATTAAATGTGACTTTGCATCAGATTGGTGTGTATATATTGAATATATATATATATTAAATTAAATTAAATTAAATTAAATTAAATTAAATTAACCTCGTTGAAGTCTTGACGTTATTCTCTATCCTTTCTTTCTCAGCGCCGTTGCTCTGCTGCTCTTCTCAACACATTTTTCATAAATGTTTGCACTTAAATATTGTTGTTTGTACAAAGTCTAGTGTTTTATTAAAGTGTTTTCGAGCAGGTTCCTGATTTAGATCAGAGCTCTGAGGAATGAAAATGTGATTTAACGTTTGCATTTTTGTAGTTTTAAAAGCGCAAAATAAATAAATTTTATTATTTTTCAGAGCACATAATTGGTTTGTGCACATGATAAACTAAAAACCTGTATTTTATATATCTGACAATCAGTGCATTTGTCTTATTAAAAAACTAACAATTACTTGCATTCATTTAAGCGTTACATGTTTTTATCTGGTGTTTTACGCTTTTTTTTTTTAATTTAAAAATGTTTTAATGCTAATTAAACAGATAAAATTGTATGGAAGTTAATTTTATATCTTGTACTCAGCAGAACAAATTCACATCAGAGCCAAATGACATTTAACATAGATTTACTTTAATATAAAATAACAAAACGGCATTTAAAAATTATGAATCTAAATGTTTAATGTGATTAGCTTCCATGTCGTACATAAAACACAACTAATCTCATTAATTTTTGAACACAGAAATCCTTAATTATAGCAACAGAAATGTTTAAACGATGAATGAACCATTAAATCGACATGGATTGTTGTAACTTTTCATCAGTGTCGGCTTTAACTTCAGCTTTAATTTGAAAAGACAGACATTTACCAATTTTCTAAACGATTTCTTGAATGTTTCAGTTAAAGTCAGTAATAATTTGTGTGGTGGTTTTAATTCCACTGTATTAAGTTGAACCTGGAGGTGTAGTGCTGCCGTCTCACCTGTAGGAGGTGTAGTTGTCGTAGGATCCTACAGTGTAATGTCTGAACAGTCTCTTGGTGCGATCCTCCCTCGTCTCTGAAACACACGTCACACGTAAGTTTGCCTTTCACTTCCTGTTTCCCCGACGACTTCCTGTGTGTGCAGCTCATACTCACCCAGTCTCGGGTCGTATTGTCTCATCTGGACTTCTTCCACGCAGTCGGCGGGAAACCAGCCGGTTCTGCCTTTGACGCTGCCCTCCCAGAACCCTCCTTCACCGATGGACAGGACTGAAACACAATACTCAGACGTTAGCTCCGCTGTTAGCGCCGCAGGTGACCACGTGCCGGTTCGTTCTCCGATGTCGGACCTTTGACCCACCTTTGACCCGCTCTCCTCGGTGCAGCTGGATCTCTCCCTGGCCCTGGGGGACGTGGGACCGGGTGGCGATGAAGGTTCGACCCGGCACGGCGCTGTACAGCCTCCTCTTCCTCATCTGGGGGGTGAGTGGAGGCGAAGCTGGAGGGCTGGTCTCCACATGACCACCGCTTGGGCTGCACGCCAGGAAGAGGCACAATGGTTTAACTGGACC